ACTTTCAAAGTGAAATTTTGTACTCAGTATTCATGGATATCTGCCAATTTATACTATTTCATCACTGTCATGAGAGCTGTGTGTACTGTCTGATTTGGCCAGATAATGCAAAATTGAAGAAAATCAATAGGACATTTTTGTTTCTAATAATGCTGTCTTATAAATCAGAAAATAAACCAATATTTGAATGGGATCATTCTAAATCTCCTTTCAAACTTCACGAAGTTATAAACAAATATATTTGGACTAGTACATACTGATTTTTTCCAAGAAATTTTGTTGTTTATTTATTTCAAAATCTCTTAAACCTAGTCCAGGGACTTGCCCTATCTGTAAAGCTACTGCCACTTTTGCTCCATCTAGTGGAATATTGATTTTCGCTCCGTATTAACAGAATATGTAATACAACCTTTACCTCCTGAAGACAGATAACATCTGTACTGCTTTTTCTTACTGTGAAATGACGTTACATTGATGAAGCAATCACTTAATTTCTTTTTATAACAACCACAAAAACCATAGACCTTTATAAATACAACGTAGTAAATCTGGAAGAAGCAAATTTGCTACATTCTTTACTTTGCCCGAAGTAAATTACTTGAAGTAATTCCATTTCTCTATTGAGCAAGTGCAAGGAAGCTTGCTTGCATCATTAGGGAAGGTTAGTCTAATAGCAATCTCTGAAGTACCACAATTAACAACAAAGACAAAGTCTATTTATAAAGTTTGAGGTAAAAGTTAAAAGGAAATGAAACCTTCTCCATAGCAAATATAATTAACAAACCAACAAGTTTTAAAAATGTATTTTCTTCCCCTGGAGTGTTAATAAAAAGTTACATTAATATAGTAATAGTAATAGTAAAATATCATTATTAATATTACATAAATGCATTTATATCTTATCTGGACAATGAATAGCTATTGATTCAAGTCCTTATCCAACATGACAGGCACTGATCTGTTAGTAGTCTGATGTCGCCAAAGGCAGTACTACTTCTGATACTACGGTCTAGTATAAAAACCCAGTATACAATTTTCCTTTATTCTCCAATCCCACCCCAAGGAGTCAAAGTATTTTAAAGAAGTTTAATTTCCTCCTCTTTAATTTTTTTTTTTAATGAATTGAAACTTTCTTGTCAGGAGTGGAAAATTCCATGGCAGTCATGGCCAGTAAAACGGTGCCTATGTATATTTCAACATTGTGGAGCTAGCTCCATAGTAAAAATTGGCAACGACCCATATGTATTAAAAGTGGAGTGTCCCCAACTTATTTGAAAATTTACCTACTTAAATTATCCCTCAACCTATTGCAATTTGATTTATAATCTGCTGTTTCAACAGACTAAATGAACCCATTAAAAACAAACACACTGTAGATATTTATATCGGGAATAAAATTTCTCTGGGGAGGATGCAATTTATGGAAGCAGAAACATTGGAAGGAAGTAACAAATTGAGGTCCTGGTTTTCTAATGAAGGATTGGAAATTGAGTTCTGCTTAAATAAGCAGGAAAAAAAAAAGAGATGTGATTATTTTTCACTCATTAGCATTGAAGTCGGTAGCAGGATATTTCACAAGTTTTAGATAGATTTTTTAAAAGTAGATTTAGTAAGTATTTTGTTAAGTTTAATTTTTATAGTCACATATGCAAGTAACTGATAGAAAGGCAGATTATCTACATATGCTCCACTGCATTTAAATATGATAAATAAAAATATCTGTCTATAACTTCAGAACTAGATTCTAACGAGGAAGAGTCTGCCTACTAGATTCCAGAAGAACAAAACAGATGCAGGTCTGCCCAGAATCTGGTTCTTAGGCCAGATGGACTTTTATTACACGTCATGGTCTGTCTGACAGACTTATAAACAAGATATAATCTTGTCTATGATTAATATTTTCCCTTATATAAATATTTGAAAGACACAGTATGTATCTTTTCTATCAATGTGCTAAGTATGCTACTAATCTTCAAGATATTTTGAATTTTATACATTAATGAAATTGAGATCCTCAAACAAACATTGTTTTTCCTCAAAGTCTGCATACAGCATTTCCATTACATGAAAGGCAAAGTGGAAAAACATGTTCATGGTTTCACTTTGATTTCCACAACTTCTTTTGTCAGAGGCCACATGCCTACTTGGAATTATTATCCAAAGTGTAATTCCTCACAAGCAGACTAATAAATGGTATAGTACCATTTTCCTCACAATTATGTATTTTAAGAATGTGGCAAGCCCCTGTTGCTGGTGTAGAAAATGAAATTAGTCCCTTGGAGAGGATATGATCAATGCCGTGTTAATCTAACCTTCAGCTGTTAATGATTTGCATGAGGATTCCCCCTGATGCTGAAATATTGTTTTAAGAGTTCCTGTCTTTTGCTGAAAGGGGACTGAGTGGAGTGGATCCTGTGGATCTGCTTTCCTTCCCCGCGTGTGTGTGCGCGCACGCTCGCACACATGCTTAATAGGAACAAAATAAATGAAAATATTTTAAAATTTCTTTTTCAGATAATTTGCTTTGCTTAAATGCTTTAGGTAAAAGGTTATAAAAGATAAAATCCTTGCAAAACTTACAAAATTATCTACATTTCATAATTTAGAATTGCTGGCCACACCTACAAAAACAACAACAAGCAATTTGCTGTTCCCGTTCAAAATACAACTATGGAAAAATATGCTCCACATTCAAGTTTACAACTTCTTTCAAAGGGCACCAGGGTGAACAGACTGTGTCAGCTTAAAGAGTGTTCTGGGGAGTGGGCTGTGAAGGAAAGGCACTGCATGTTTCCATCCCAGAAGGACTGCTTTGTTTTGGTCTCTCGCTTTCTCTCCCTCTCCCACTCCCTCTCCCCCTCCCCCTCTCTCTCTCCCTCTCTCCCTCCCTCTCCTCTTTTAGTAATCATATATATATTTGATTCTTGTGTACCTGTTAAAACTCTGTGCCCTTTTTATCACACTGCTGAGCAGAAATATAGTACTAAGGATGCAGTTTCTATTTCTAGTAGTTATCATGTTATGATAAGAGAATAATCTAATTCCACTTGTGACCAAAGTCCAACCTGAAAAAGTAAAAGTCATGCTGAAGCATTCACTCAACTTGATGTCTCCTTGAGTTCTTAATAAATTCATTCCAGCTCAACAAAATATGGGATCCCTAACTGTACCTGCAGGGCACCTCTCAATTATCAAGTTATTCTTCCAGTTCATCAACTGTCTGATTTCCATGAACTTGTACACTTAACTTCCTCAAAATAAACTACAGTAACCAACTGGGGTGTTTTCAAAAATCAAATCTACATATCCTTTCAGTATGCTGAATATATTTCTTGCTCAATTCTGCTCAAGGGAGACATGAAATAGAGGAACTTATGTATAATTTTATAAACTCTTATTTAGCATATTAGGGGAATTAACTGCCAATAACTTGGGATATTATCCTCTGATTCTGACAGCAATGTGCAACCATATGAGATTTTCAGAGTCATTATTATGATGATTATCAAAATTATTACTATTATTATTTAATACCCATTAGCCTACTTTTCCATGGTAACATTTATGAAAGAAGTTTTACTCTTAGGTTTACTTCCTATCTAAACAATTTTATGCAAGTGTATGAAATTATTCTACCTTTTCTTAGTTATCTTTAAGTTTTTATTTTTAAAAATCCACCTTGGTTTCCCACTGAGTAGTTCACAGAAACATTCCAAAGCAATGAGCACTGGTCAGAAGTAAAGCTCTTAAAAAAGTAAAAGAAGCAATGGGTGGGAAGTAGCAGAGCACAGAGTTCAGCAATGCAGAGCACAGAGTTCTAAGGGAATCTTCCCTCACCCTCTGTCCCTTTGGTAAAGTCTCATGCACTGAAGAGCCTCTCATGCATTGCTTTCTGCTCTGCCTACATTATAATTTACTCTTTCTAAAAAGTAGTAGGTCATTTATTGTTTACTGTTTTGTTCCTTCATCATCTCATTTTATCATCAATATAACACTATAAAAATATTAAATTTAAAAAAAATCTAGGATATACCAGACATCATTCCAGGCATAGGAGTTAAAATTATGAAGAAAGATCCCTCTTGCTCTCAAGTTGCATGAAATTTATCAGGAAGGACTGGGGAGAAAAACAGGGAAGCATAATGCCATGTGACAATTCTGTATCTGGGGTAAGCACAAGATTCCATGGGACCATAGTGAAGTGATGCCTAAAGCAGTGTTGGAGGACAGAGAAGATTTGCTGCACAGTGTGACTCTTCAAGAGAAGTCCATGCTTAGACTTAAGAAATGAATCAGTTAGCCACATGAATGGCCTTCCAAGCAGAGGGACGCATGTGGGACATCTGGGCAATGGCAAGCAGTAGAGTATGAAGGAAGAAATATTGCAAAGGCAGAAGGAGAATGAAGGGAGAAAAAGTAAGGGTAGAGAGACAAGGCTTCTATAGATCAGGAAAAAAATTCAAACATTATCCTTAGGCAATATGGAACCTGTGAAGAATTTTCACCAGATCCACATTATGGAAATGTTTGGCTGAAAATGAAGTAGCACTAGAAACAGGGCTAGAGACCACTCGGGAGGCCACGCAGTAATTCAAAGCTTTCTGTGATCTTTACTAGAGAGTGTCTGTACCCCAGATTGCATAGCATGTGAATCTGGCGGAGGCAAAATTAATTTCCCAGTAGATAACTAGACCATAACTCAGGGTTGGGACTAGGGTAAGGCAAGTGAAGCAGTTACCTTGGGCACAAAATTTAAGGGGGCAGCAATAAAATCAGTAATCAAGATAAATAATATTTAGAGCAATATCTTTAACAATGAATACAAAAACAAATCCATGGTGAACGAAATATCAAAAATTTAAATAATGACAGTAACTGGATACTTTGGGGGTATATGTAGATATGTGAAAACAGACTAACTTCCCATACAGTAGGTTCCTTTTCCATCTTATTTAGAGAATTTCAGTTTATTCACTCAGTGTGGCTAACAACTAACTCACCTTGGAAGCCGAGAAAAAATGCCGGCTGATATTGATGTCAATACATCATCCAAACGACCTGGTGGTTTCCCTTTGAGAATCCAGCTGACGACCAGTTCAAGAAGCATTAAGGAAATGAAAAATGGGGTTGCCTGGAAAAGGAAATGGCACAAAAAAGATGCTATTGTGCTTGGTATGAAATTCTTCCACATTTCCTGATTACTCATTCCAGAAGTGGGAGGCCCAGAGAGACATCTCATAGCAGGAGAAGGTATATACTTATCCTAGAGGATCATTTCCTCCCAACAGGCAAAGAAATCTGATTATTTCAGACATATACTAAACAGGTGCTCAAAATCTATCATCCAATTTGGAAATGAAATATAACCATAGATGTAACCATGATAATTCTGCCAAGAAAACAATAAGCTTGGCGGGGGGTGAGTTTTGAGTTAGACCTAAAAAAAAATACATTTTAAAATAAGTACAATAATCAGATGTTTATTATCTCCATGATTAAGACAGTTCCTCCTTAAAAGGCTTCACTTAGGATACACATATTTCTAGTTACTCATATTAGAATTGCAGGAATGACAAAATTGAAACTGTAGGAACAAAGCATTTTCTTCCAAGTATTTCAGAGAATATGATCGTTTAAAATGTGTATTTAAAACATCATTCAAATTTTATTCACTCAGACTTAGTTTTGTGCTATAATAAGTGTTTTTAGGCTCCATTACAGATGATAAATACTGAGCAAAGTTTGGTGTTAAAATAGAAAAATAATGATTTATGAAGATGTGAGTACCACATTTTTCTTCTTAAAAAAACTAGGAAAGGAATAATATCAAATCCTGAAAAAGTTAGGGGTTTTACTCACTTGGAAGCTGGTCATGAGTTCTGAAGTTTTCTAAACTGAAGTCCCAAGAACATATTCTCTGTTGTCATTTTTTTCCCCCTTATTTCTGGTCTGAACTAGTGTTATAGGAACAACTTTGACAGGGTGGGGAACTTAGGTATTCAAGTTCTAATTCTGGATATTTCCACTTCCAGTCATAGCCAGGAACCAGAAGTAAAAAGTACCTCTGAACACTTCAGAATTTCAAAGAAAACTTGGTTCAAGTTCAAACTTAGGAAGTCAGAGTTGGACTCAGTCAGCTCTGTATCAATTCTGCAGAACTACTCTACCAAATTAAAGAGGAAATAGTTTCCTGGGAGGTGGTTTGCCCTTTAAAACCAAAATTGTTACAAAGTTTACTGATGTCATATAACCATTTGACACTGAGCTTCTGACAACTAAATTTGTAACACCACTGTGGTCTAGGAAAACTTTGTAAAGCTTTATCATATTCTGTAGTGACATATCCAAGGAGAGGAGTTTAATAGGAGAAACTGGTTATTGATATTGCACAGAAATTCAATTCAAGTAGAAATTCTAATGTTGTTCCATGCCTTTATAAGGCTGAATTATTTTTTATTAGAATTTAATAATTTGAAGAACGAAAGTGAACAAAACCCCAGGATGTGTTTAACATACTTATTAAGACAAAAGCAACAGTGGCCTTTTCCCAGATAGTCTCACCTGCTTTACATAATCAGGCACCTCTTCCAGGGTTTGGAATGACGTTTCATTGGGCTTCATCATATAAACCATCATGCGAAGTCCCTGGGAAACTGAAACATCCTGTTGGGCTTCTGGGTTCATGTCTGCCCTTGTCTGATTCCCAGCTGGAGAATATTTGTGATTCAGTGGTTGAAGCCAGAGGCTGAACAAAGAGGATGAGAGCTGAGCTGCACAGAACAAGCCCTTGGTCAGAGAACAGCTAGAAACAAAGCTCCACGGAGAACACAGCCAACAGATGATTCTGTGTAGAGAGACAGGAAAACACAGGCACCAAGAAAGAGTTCAGAGTTCAGTGGGTGTAGGACACGTGAGGGAGGGAAAGGGGAGGAATCAAGCCCAAATCAAAGATAAACACTGGACTTTGATTGTAGGTGGAATAACTTAACATCAAAAAAAAAAAAGAAAAGAAAGAAAGACAGAAAAACAAACAAAACAAAAACATGATACAGCCTTAGAAAGGGGAAGAAAAAAGTGCTAACAGGTGAAAGTTCACTCTGAAAAAGTGGACAGCAATTCAAGACTCAGATCACAAAAGGAAAATTCTTTTTTTTTTTTCCTTTGAAATTCACATTGTGTTCTGTGTGTCGTCTCCTCACAGAGTCCTATTTCCTGCAAGGACAGGGTGCTCTAATCTCAGTAAGACTAAGCTTCAAAGTCAGTAAGCACTGACTGTATCACACTGGTTATTGCCTATAGATTTCTGGATTTGTATGGTGTTAACTTCTGAATGTTTGCAAACCAATTTAGAGGCATTTGGCTTGTTACATGATCTACCATGTTTAATGGAACCTTGACTGATCACATGCGTATTCTTCTGAGCACTTATGGGGACTCTCTGATTGAAGAAGCTGCCAAGATGTTGCTGCAAGACTGTATCTGTGTTTTGCAGGAGGAGCCTAAGTTGATTATGCCTTTCAGGGAGACTAGAGGGCACTTCATTGATTGCATCACCAGTGAATGAGGGGGTTTCCTGAACAGCCTCAGCCCTTCACCTAGAATGGCTATGATCACCCTTTAGCTACCAACTCATCTTTTAAACATGTTTATGTAAATTTCATTAAATTATCAATACATGATTATTTTAGGAAAAAATAGAAACTGTAGATAAACAATAAATAAACTGCTACCCAGAGACACTGTTAACATTTTGGTGTATGAACAGTCAATTCTGCTGTTACATGACCTACAAACTGCTAAAAATCAGGATAGTTTGCAAAGTTGTGCAATAAAAACTATGAGGCTTATGAGAAAAATGGGATTTGGGTACAATACTCAAAAACTTTGTAATGATCCATAAGGAAAAAAAAGAAGATCGAGACCTAATAAAAATTGTACTACACTTTTACACATGCATGTTACATGATTAGGAATAAGTATGGTGCTTCATCTTGAAAAAAACCTGACATTTATTTGTGGAGGTGAGCATTGGAAAAGTGGCACAACCTGAGTTATTGTGGAGTCATCAACTTATCAGAAGTTTGCTCCATTGAGCATGTGGTTAGACAGCCTCCCCCCCACACACACTGGGTGCAGAGGTGTATGTGTGCATATGTGTGTACATTCCAAGAAGTAATACAAAATCATTTTAAGTAGTTAAAGTAGCAGAACATTAATACAAAGAATCAGTTACAGAAATTATAAAAGAAGTGAAAAATCAAATGAGAAGAAAGAAGAAATCTAGGGATTAATATCAATAGGAAGTCACTAGCATCTTTAAGCTATAGGGACAAAAAAAGGGAGGGTGTGTTAATGCTGCTCAGGGACTGGGTCACACATGGAAGGTCTGAACCACAATGGGCCTAAGAAGATCATCGGCCATGGAACAAACCCCCAAAACAGTAACAAATGTAAGATGATTAGAAGAGTATGATGGCTACTCCCTTCTTACAGCCAACCAATCTCCCAGCAATACCTCCCATTGGCCTAAGTGAGTCAAAGCCAGTTAAAAGAAAAGCCTAGGAGATGAAGTCTCTGGCCTGGAGGGAATACAGAACAGGGAAGAAGGGGAGGAATGCATCCAAGGAAAAAGCCAACCAAGGACCAGCAAACCATTATAACTTACTCAACTGTTTCTCCACTGTTGTGCAATTAAGTGTAGTTTTCCAGTTTTAGCTAATAAATTTAATGCAACAATGAATATCATGGTATAAATATCTCGTACACTTGTGTACATTTTGTATTAAATAAATTCCTAGCAGTGGAATTATGTTGTTGAATGGTATGTAAAATTTATGCTTTGATAGTTGCTGCCAAATTCACCTCCAAAATTGTCTTTCACTCTTGTTAACCCTGGATACTCTCAATTGTTGATAGTTTTAAGCCTATTGGGAAAAATGACATCTTGCCTTAATTTGCATTTCCCTAGTGACTTTGAAAATCTTTGCAATACATTTATTAGTCATTTGTTTTTCTTAGTGTGTGATTTATTTTTAAATATATGTTGCATGTGATTTTATATTGTCATTCTGTATTGATTTATACGCTATTTGTATTCTACATATATATATTTATTTTGCTCCTGTATATGGCAAATGTTCTCTCAGTCTTCATTGTTTTTCGACTTTGTTACCTATATGTTGCCATACAGCAATTGTAACTTTGTGCATACTGCTATCTTTTATTTTATTACTTCTGCCTTTGGGTCTTGTTCATGAATGTTTTCTTCACCAGAATTCTACAAAAATAAGCTTCTGTGTTTTCTTCTGTGTTTTCTTCCAGAATTCTACAAAAATAAAAATAACCTTCTGTGTTTTCTTCTAGGACCTTTCAGTTGTTCCTTTAGTCATTTGGAGTTCAGTTTCTATATGGTATGAAGTCATTATTTCATGTTATGCCCTCCCTCCCTACCCTGGATGGATCCCAGTTCTTCCCATACCATTACTTAAAGTCACTACTTTCCACACTATTCTTTGACATATCTGCACCGTTTCCAGGCTCTCCACTCTGTCCCACTGATGTATGTATCTATTCTTGTACTCTAACATGTTGTCATAATTAGTATACTACCATAATAAATTCTAGTAACTTGTAGAACAACTTTTGATTTGTGAGTTGTTTTTCAAAAATTTTAAACTATTTTTCACATTTGTTCTAATGAATCTATTTAAACTAAACTTGAAAAATTCTATTGGCATTTTAAGTGGAACTTCATTAAATTCATGGATTGATTTGGAAGAATTGACATCACAGGCACTCGATAAACCTGTCTGGAACAAATGAACATAGACACTACCATCATTTAAACCTCATTCTATATTTAAGTGATGCTAATGCTAACTACCAATTCCTTATCCTCTCCATTCTTTTTTTTAAAGATTCTATTTTTAAGTGTTCTCTCCCGCAATATGGGGCTCAAGCCCACAACCCTGAGATCAAGAGTCACACACTCCACCAACTGAGCCAGCCAGGCGCCCCATCCTCTTCATTCTTTGTGTTTTGTTTTTGTTTTTTTTTCCTTGTACTGGCACAGGTGGCAAAGTTTTCTTTCTTTTCTTCTTTTTTTTCACCAGAAGGTTATAAATATAATTGTATATCTTAACATGATTTTTTTACCCATATATGTGAAGAATACCTTGGCTAAATATAAAATCTCTAGCTCAAAAATTAATTCCCCCCAAAATCAACAGAGACAAAACACTTTGGCTAGAAACCTGTCAGGTGAAACAAGATATATGGAATAGATGGTTTAAAGCCGATACCAGAACCAGAAAGAGGAAGCCTGAGATAGTTCCAGGTGCTTTCCTTCAGGTTTCTATCCAAAACTCCTAGTCAATGGGCCTTGTTGGCAGTCCCTCCTTTCACCTAATTAAAGTGAAAATGCTTAGGAAGAGCCTGATATGGGGGATAAGCATCCCGTGAGAACTCAAGACATGACAACCTGCTGCACTATGCTCTCATTTGCAAATAAATCAGAACAAAAAGACATCAGAAGCTTTTTGTACTGAAGATACTTTTTTTTTTTTTTAAGATTTTGTATTTATTTATTTGACAGAGAGAGAGAGACAGGGAGAGAGGGAACACAAGCAGGGGGAGTGAGAGAGAGAGAAGCAGGCTTCCCGCTGAGCAGAGAGCCCGATGTGGGGCTCGATCCCAGGACCCTGGGATCATGACCTGAGCCGAAGGCAGACGCTTAATGACTGAGCCACCCAGGCGCCCCCAGATACGTTTTTTATAAAGCTGATATGGAACTTCTAGTGATACTGATAACTGTCCAGTCAAGAAAAAGAGATCACAGTAATTTGAACAGGGAAAGTTTAATATAAAGAATTGTCAGTTTTGACATAGTCTGTAGAAATATTTTTCTAGATATGTCTCCTTAGGCAAGAGAAACAAAAGCAAAAATAAACCACTGGGACTACACCAACATAAAAAGCTTTTTCACAGAAAGGGAAATCATCAACAAAATGACAAGGCAACATACTGAATCAGAGAAGATACTTGGAAATTATATATCTGATAAGGGGTTAATATCGTGTGTGTGTATGTATAAATTTGTACAATTCAACACTAAAAAATACAAATAATTTGAATAAAAATGGGCAGAGGACCTGAACAAACATCTTTCCAAAGAAGACATACAGAAGGCCAACAGACACATGAAAAGATGCTCAACATCACTAATCATCAAGAAAATGCAAGTCAAAACCACAATGAGATATCACCTCACACCTGTCCGAATGGCTGAAATAAAAAAGGCAAAAATAACAAGTGTTGGTGAGGATGTGGAGAAAAAGTAACTCTTGAACATTGTTGGTGGAATGAAAATTGGCACAGCCACTATGAAAAACAGTGGAGGGTCCTCAAAAAATTTAAAAAATTGAGGGAACTCTAAAAAATATAGGAATAGCAGAAGTAAGAAGTAGCCACTACCCTTGGGGCTGGACTGAGGAACTTACTGGAAATTGTGTTGGAAGAGGTCGTTGAGAGGACCATGTTCACTAGTTGACCATCAGACTGGACTCACCCTTGTCCATGGAATGCACAACCTGCCCACTATGCCCACAGCATTGTGCCTTCAACAATGACTATCCAGGGCCTGCTTCTGAGAAAGCTTAGCATCATCTCGGCTAGCATAGAAAAAATATTTAAAAGACTCAGATCCATTTTCCCAGTCAGCCAATAAAGTATGAATTTGGAGATGAGAGGCAATAAACTTTTTTTTTTTTTCCTTAGAGAGAAAGGAGAGAGAGCTCGAGTGAGGGGAGGAAGAAAGGGGCAAAGGGAGAGAGAGAATCCCAAGCA